CTTCCCTTTAAATACGGAAAGCACAACTTTTTTTTCCCGCTTTCGCTTTTTTGGACGGTGCTCCTGTGTCAGAAGGCCTCATGGGTTGGCGCTTTAATGGCGGGCTCTTCATGCCGGGATCGCTTCTTCCGCCTTTCGCTGCGCTTAGACGGCGTGTTGTGGATACCTGTCGGCGGCGTAGTGACAATTGGGTCTTCGAGTCCCTTTTGTGTCGGTGTCGGCGGAAGCTCTGGCTCTTCTGGCTCTTCTGGTTCGGGCACTTCTGATCCTGCCTGCGACTCGTCCAGCAGACGTGCTTGAGACGACTCCAGGTCTCGTGTTGGGTCCACTGGGTCTATCGGTTCGGGCGCGGCAGGTTGTGATCCTGGTGGAGGCGTGCGATTCAAACCACCGCCTGGCGAACGGATCAAAACCTTCGTCTTCGGGATCGGCGGCGGTAGGGGCCTAGGGTTGGGCTTGACAGGCGATCGTCGCGGGCTTGGCGCGGAGCTGTCCCGCCTCATTTCGCGGGGGGACGACGCGCCGGGCTACCCATCGAAGCCGGCTCTGTATCCTGGACTGGAGGAATTTTGCTGCTCTGCCCTACGTGCCAAACGGTCGCGAAGGCCGCCGTCTTTGGCTCGCGTTGCTCCCGTGGCGCGTCCACTTTGGGACGGTGGTCTGGGTTCTTGCGCTGTCGTCATGTCGCGGTTGCTGAGCTCACTGGGCTCTGCGCCGGGCCCGACTGCTCGGGACAGGGATGCATCTTCGTCTGTCTGTTGGGTCGAACGGCGGCGTAAGATATCTGGATTTGTCCTCGCCAGGCTTGCTTTGGTGGGAGAGGCAAAGGACGGTCGACGACGCGCAGGCTGTGATGTGGGGGTCTCATCGGCTGATGGGGAGTTCGCTCTGTCTGCGGTCCGGATGGGAATACTAGTTCGAGGGGAGATACGGCGGCGCTTCGGCGCGGAGGAATCCTCCATGTTGTTTATGGGTGGTCTGACAGTCGCATGGTATGAGGGATTCGAGAGCTTCGACGGGATGATGCTGGTATTGTAGGACTTGTCGCATAAGTACACTGGTTGGTGCTGTGCTTGTGCCACTCCCCAGACGCGTCGAGATGGGAGTTGTGCTGACCGCCTGCCGGATTGGGCTCAATATCAACTCCGTCATGAGCTACGAAGTACACCGTGGACCTGGAGCGACCACGCCTTGAGCGAACTGGACACACTCTGGACGAACAAGCAATTGCATTTTGGCAAGTCTTTTCCAACGTCTGGACAGATCTGGCATCAAATAGTGCTCCATCTGTTCTTGTGAATTACTCTGTTGTGCTTCGATATGTGCTTAGTCACCACAGCACGTGACTTCATGACGTGAACATCCCGGCGTTCCATGGCGCATCCCGATCCCCGATGACTTTTCTAGATCGTCCACTACCACCAACTTCACCCACCCCTTCGACCACGCAGCCCTCGGCACTCACGACCATGTCGGTCTCCAGGATCCTCCCCCGTATGCGCTCCGTCATGGCGGCGCGCGCTCCCGCCGCTCGCTTCGCGTCTTCGGCCACCCACACCATCCAGTCCCAGACACCTCCTGCGCCTATTGTGCCCTCCAACAAGCAGGCCCACCCCATCGGCAACTTCTACCAAGCCATGCTCGACGACCCCCAGCCCATCCCCGGTCAGAAGCCCGAGCAGCCTCCCGCGTCCGCCGCCCCCTCCGCCAAGAAGGAGCCCGCGAAGAAGCGTAAGTCCACCGCCCTCTCCTCTCCCATCGCTCCGTGTCCCCCACTTCCCCAGCGCGCGCCGGCTGAACCCTCCCATGCTGAAGCCACAGAACAGGAGGAGCCGCCAGTGCCTAGTCCCCCTCCAGCGACCGCCGAGGAGAAGGCCCGCCTCGTGTTCGGCGAGATCCGTTCCGGTCCTCGAGCCCGCGCCGAACGTCTCGCTGCCGCTCGGGCCAAGACGGTCACAATCGCCGGCGTGCTCGTGCCGCCGCGGCCCGTGGAACCCGACAACTGCTGCATGAGCGGGTGCGTCAACTGCGTGTACGATTTGTTCCAGGAGGAGCTCGAGGAGTGGTCGGCGGCGAAGAAGGAGGCGGAGGCGAGATTGGCGGCACAGCAGGCGGAGGCCCTGGCGGAGACGGAGGCGGAGCAGGCCAGCAGCAGCAGCAGTGCTGGCAATGACGGCAGCATGGAAAACGACGGCGGCGGTTCCGAGCTCAATTGGGTGCCGCAGCCGCCAGAACAGGGACCGGCAAAGCACGCGTGGGACGAGGGCCTGTACGCGGACATCCGGTCGGATTCGGAGTTCATGAAGACCGAGAAAGAGGTTGAAGGAGCAGCACAGGCAGCAGGGCACGCTGGGGCGCGCGGAATGCCCGACTGTGTCTCTGGCTTTGACGACTTCACTCCGCCCCTTGACTCATTGCGTTGATTACTTGTACAGCATCGGCATTCAATACCAAGACTTTCGCAACAGACTGCAGCCTGTCAAGATGGTTATTCTGAACGTGAGGTATACGGTTGTTCGTGACCCTAAGATATTTCTCGGCTTGACCCAACTTTCAACACGTTTGCTCGAGCGAATGCACACCATGCTCAGCCATCCCGTTGCAGCGTACGGGGGGAGCGCAAGGCAATGTGCCTGGAACAGACTGCAACTGACGCGAAGGATTGCGGTGCAATGATGTAATTTGAACACTACTCCTGTGTCTGTCGCGTTCGAAACAAAGAGGCAGGTGACTTGTTTCTGAATTCTGCAATCGAGAACAGTGTCTTTCTTGCTTTGTACTTCGCAATCCAGTCATGCATTGGTACATCTCGCCGTCATCTCGGAAATGAACAGCATCAATGCTCAGCGCACGGAAGTGTTGTTCAATCGACCGCCAAGGTCATATATGAGAACACTTTTTACCCCCATACAAGCGTCGATATGTCATTTATCAAATTTGCCAGACATAATCGCCGTACCTCATCGGAATTGACACCATGCCACACCACACACACTGCTACGAAGATGCAAATGGTAGTCTTCGCTGCTCAACACAGAATGCCCCGTCTAAACAAAGCTCCATCACGCTTCGACGTGTATCCTCAGAACCAACCTTCGACGCAACCCTCTCGAGTTTTGATGGGTCCAACTCCCTTCCTGTCTCCCCTGACGGCACAGACAAGGGCAATGCTAGAACCCGACAGCTTCCGAAGTGCGACGGTCAGAATGGAAACATCAAAATGATAATCAAAGCACTGAATGAATTGAAAGCCGATCTCGAGTTAATGATCAGGCTCTGTCCAGAGCTCGGATCCCAGGTGGTGAGGGGCACCGAGAAGGTCCCGGTTCTGGTCTTTCACTGCCTCGAGGCGCAACTGGTCAAGGCCGAGAGTCAGCTGTGGGTTTACAAACTAAGGAATGAGCAGGTGGGGGTTCAACACAAGATTGATGCCGTTGTTGAGACGGTGAATCAGGCCGGCCGCGTTATCGACAAATATCAAGCCGCTCGAGAACCCCTTTACAGGCGCTGGGAGGTAAGTGGTGAACAGGGAAAGAGTGAGATCGAGCAGGAGTTTAGACAGGTCTGTGAAACACTCGCGATGCTCATTGATGGGGCCGAGCCGCGCTCTATAAGCCTATGAGAATGATGGCAATAGATTACGACTTCGTAATGATTTTACTTGGAAGTCGGGATTTTAGTGAATCCCGTGTTGCTAGGAAAATTCTTGAAGGTTAGCCTCACCAGAGCACCTGATGCCAGATGAATAAAACTTATAAATAACATAGTACTATCAATTTTCACAATTACAGATGGCGATGTTGTGTTGAAATACTTGACGATCAGCGGCACCATGTAGTTAGGGTGCTGCACATCGTAGTTTAAGGCTCATTAAGCGCCGGTGAATGCCTCGCTAGACATGAATCACGAAATGATGAAGTAATTGATAACGATCGTTTATGTGTGTGGAGTACCACCATTAACCTGGAGCCATAGAGACATGGCACACCTGGGCGCAATACGCAGAGACAAGCATCACGATGAAACTCCAACACAGTATGACTGGCCAATCCAGAAGTTGGACACACAGTCGCGGCTCACTGCTGGATTCCATTCAAAGAACTGACTCAACGAAATATCGTTACTCTCAGCGAGTGAGCCACAAGTATCGCCCGATTCCACAACGTCCCACTCGTCGCAGTCGTTCGGCTGGCCGGTATGCGTCGGGCCCGGTGGTCTCGGCTTGGAAGGTCCGGGCGTCGCGGACGACTTCGCGGACGACTTCGCGGAGGACGTCTCTGTGGATATACCGCCCATGTCTCTAGAGACACCGACGCAGTATGCCTGGTTCAACCAGAAGTTGATTGAGCAGTCGCGGCCGACGGCCGGGTTCCAGTCGTGAAACTGATCCCGCGAGATGCCGGCGTCGTCTGCCACTGACTGGCAAGAGTCACCCGAGGACACGACATGCCAAGTGTCGCAGTCTTGAGGCTGGCCTGAATGTGTGGGCGCAGGGGCAGTCAGCCCTCCATCGCCTGTGGTTGCCGTCGCCGGCTCAGTCTCAGGGATGGCGCGGATAACCTGCAAATTCCAGGACCCGCAGTATCGCCCGCCAGGTACAAAAGAGCAGGCAGGGTCGGTGACATTAGTACCTAGTGCGTTCCAGGCGACGAAGTTGTCGTTGTCGGTGTCATGGTTGCGGGCGGCGAGTTCGCAGTTGCTCTTCCAGTACCCAAGCTGGTCCGGCGGGAACTGGTAGTCGTCGCCCTTGAAGTAGTGCACACAGTCTTCGCGGACTCCTTTGGCTAGCGGCGCAGGGGTGTATGGCCGTGAGTAGCCGTCTACGGTCGCATTAGGAAGCATGGTGAAGGGAATGCCGGTGAAGGTCGCATTGGGATCGATTGTAATTGAAACATGTCCGGGGCGGCCAGCGTAGGTGTTGACTGCAACGGGCATCAATGATCAGAAGGGGCATATCGAGAAAAAGAAGAGAGAAAGAAGAGGTGGGGAGAGGGAGAGAGGAACGGATTGGCTTACTGTCTCCCACTGGATGTACACAGTAGCTTTCTTTTGCATACAAGTTGGTGCAGTTAGCATTAATGCCGGGGTTGAGAAATAGGAAGTCATCCATGGAGATGGCGAACTTCAGGATCACCAGATTACAGTAGTCGCCCGCTTCGACGTTGTACCAGCGGCTGCACGGCTTGTTGGACCCCGCGGCGGCTTCTGTTGGCATAGGTGCGACCATGGTTGGGACCAATGGCGGAATGTTGGTAGTGGCAGGCGGAGGCAGACGAGGTCCCGGAGGACTGATGCAGAGCGTGGTGCCGTTCATCATGCCAATGTTGGAGCACACAGGATTGATGACCTGATTCCAGGCCTTGAGCTGGGTCACTGTTATTCCAGCAGAGTTGGCGACAGCGATACATGTTTGGTTGACTCCAACAGTGACGGTGTCACACTTGTTAGTGATGCAGAGACTGCCTGACGTGGGGAAGTCAGCACAGTATGCGGCGAGGTTATTATCTGCTAAAAGCCAAGCTGTGGCAACACCATGGGCCTTAGATATGCTGTAACAGTCATCACTGTTTTGAATCGTGTACTGCGTGCCGTCACAAGAGTCTTCCGTAGGTTCAGGCTCGCTGATAGAGTAGTCGATAGTCGTTGTGGTTACAGGTTTGCCTGTAACGCCACAGCTTGACGTATATCTCTGGTAGAGCGATTCGCTTGCCACAATGGGGCCGTCGAAGTAGGGCGATCCTGCGCGCATACGAAGCCTGGCTGCGATGCAGCTGTCGCAACGACCGGGATCTGTGGTCCCCTCCGGCACTTCACTGAGATAGTTGAAAGGCGATACTATTTGAGTCGTAAATACCCCTGCGAGTTACGGAAGACGACGTCGCCGAGTGATATTGACCAACCTCCAGGGTCTGTGAAGACAGCAGCCAAGGCTGCAACAGGGCCACAAAATTTATCATTCTCCCGCAGACACGTAAACTCGAATATGTGCTCGAGTGTGGCCGGAATCACCACTGGCGATGCGAGGAGGTCAAAGTCGGTGGGGACGCTCATGTTCTTGCCGCACGCGGACCGGACCGACGATGTCCATGAAGATAACGCTGCGGCGCAGCCCGAGGTACACATACGCTCCAGAGACACTGGGCTGTAAAAGAAATCTGGGCGAAGATCTCGCACGAGGCGATCACAGGGTACGTCAGCCAGAAGAGCCTCAGAGCAAACTGACGGGAGGTCATCGGGAAGACTATCATTGTAGACCATTGTGAGAGCGGCCGCGGGGTTGAAAGCTCAGTAAAGCCCCGAGGCCTGAGACGAGAAAGGGTCGAACCATCATGGTCATGGGATGAAGACTTTTCAGCTAGTGGACGAAATTGCAAAGCACAAAGTCCGTCTGCTGCATGTGTCGTGTGAGAAATCCGGGAGTTGAGAAGATCAGTATTTAAGTGACATGAGTAAACTTGGCGACATTTACTTCTGCCCAGATCTTCCGCTTCATGTGCTGAGAAACTAAAAATACACTGTTCACGGCATTTCCGAAACAGATAAACTACCTCCAGGTATTCGGGAGTCTCACTCCATCAACAGGACCAGGGATGACTAACCCCGCGCCGTGCATCTTGAATGTCTTGCAAGTATGTCTGATCTACTGTCAAAGTACGCCACATCCCATGTCAGACCAGGTGACACCTTCTCGAAATGGGTCAAAAATGCGAAGGCGTTAAACCATGCGCCTTGTGAACGCCGTAACACGGATCCTGCGAGTCTCTTTTCAGCCGGGATCTCACGTTGACCTCCGTCATCGGCCGTCGCGCAATCGAGCAGCTCGAAAGGGAGGCAACTGTAGGGACAGGAATCTCCTCAACATCCTCCAACGTCATTGGTACACACTGAATCATTTTGGACATACCCGAATGGTCAGCTCAATGACCATTTGCCGTTGTGGGTGAAGTGAACGGCCTCACCGAGAGCTTCTTTCATCGCTGCGTAACCCAAGGAATCCCACCTACCTTGCCAAGTTTCATTTTTAACGTACCGTCTGTAAAACTTGCGCAAAACCGCGGAGTCATGTCTAGAAGATTTGAGCCTGTGTTAGTGTATGATACGATGACACGACCGCATTCGACAGCGAGGAGGCAGCACAATGTGTGGTCCTGTAGAACGCCAAGCGGACAGACAGAACACCAAAAACAACAAGTGAGGAATCAAAATTAGATGAGTTATTTCTCGGGCTCCTAGGCCAAAGACCGGACCGTAACGTTCTCTCCTGTGTTAAGTGGCCGAGGGTTCCCAGAATTCCTGAGAATCTCTGACAGGTTGGCATTACCCGATCATAGCGTGTTTAGCATTCTCCTCAATCCGTAAATCATCATTATTCTTTGTGTTATACATCTGCTGCGAATTGATACTTGGCCAAGACACAAGACTAAGACGGCATGTGGGCACAGTCTTGCCTCGCCACAAGGACTTTGCTCCTGTTGATATTGGCTACGACCAGTATCGCGGGAGTCATCATTACCAAACATCATGTCGAAGACATGCCAAATCAATCAGGGACCTGCAGAAGCGCCACTCCGTGAGTCTCAATGCTCAGAGTTCTGAGTATACGCAACCAACACTCAGGCTGACCGCGCCCACAGACTTCTGGACTTTTCCGCCAAACTCCGCCGGGATTATGAACTGCCGGTATGCAGTGCTGGTGACAGTCCTGATGACCTTGATCATAAGAATGTAGACTCTACCAACAGCGTGCACCCGTTCGAGGAGCAGTCGTTGTCATCCCTCTTCGCCAGACAGGTTGTGGAAGGAGACGATTATTCGTGTGGCCCCGACAGACCCTGCAGAAACGGCGCATGCTGCCCGAAGAAAACCCTTCAATGTAATTATGGCGAAAAGTATGACTTCCCAATCCCCCTCTTCTACGCTCAGATCAATTCACTAACTTGGAGCTTAGGTACTGTGGCACATCGGGCATCTCGCCTAATGAAGTCTGTTGGTCCAACTGTGATGCTAAAGCGGAATGTGGGAAGAACGCCAAAGTTCCTGGCCAAAAGTGTCTTCTCAACGTATGCTGTGGAAAGTGAGTGCTGTTTTGCAAGGTGAAACTCATCAGCTGACGGCTCTGCGACTTTTAGATGGGGGTTCTGCGGCATGACCGAGTGAGCTGACGAGCCTTCCCTTTCCTATCTCTTGTTAATTGACGCCTGTCGAAGGGACTTTTGCGAAGTCAAGGATAATGGTGCCACCGGTGGTTGTCAGTCCAACTGCAAACAACCAGGGCCTAAGGGTAAGGACTTCAAGCAGTTGGATCGTGTTATTGGATACTACGAGGCATGGCGATATAACTCCGAATGCCAAGGAATGGTGGGTGATGTCGTTCCTAGAGTTGCGCGTACGGCAAGACCAGATCGAGTGAAAACTGACGAAGTGGCCATACGGCACGTAGCCCATGAAAGACATACCCATCAACTCGCTAACCCATCTTTACTTTTCCTTTGCATTCATCACGCCCAACGAGTACAACATCATTGGGATGGACGGCCTGCCATCCGAACTTTTTAGCAATTTCACCGACCTGAAGAAAGACAATCCGAGTCTCAAGATGATCATTGCCATTGGAGGATGGACGCACAACGATCCGGGTACGTGCCTTGGTCATCTTCCCTGCGCAGCAACATGAGTTGACAATGCTTAATCAGGCCCCCTCCAGAAGGTATTTAGCGACATGGTCAGCACAAAGAAAAACCGGTCAACGTTCATTGAGAACCTGATGGCTTTCCTCCGTCAATATGCGTTTGATGGTGTTGACTTTGACTGGGTACGCACAGCAGTTCCCGTGAAGCTCGTGATAGAAGTTGGCAGTTGCTGATTCTTATCTAATACAACAGGAATACCCTGGTGCTGAGGACAGAGGTGGTGTGCCCAACGACGGCATCAACTTTACTCAATTCCTCAAGGAGCTGGAAGCAGCAAATAAGAAGCAACCGAAAAGGTACATCGTCTCTTATACTGCTCCGACAAGCTTCTGGTATTTGCGCCACTTTGACCTAAAGTCTATTGAATATGTCGACTTCATCAACGTCATGTCGTATGAGTACGTATCACCCAGCGGTGAACACCACGGGGCGAACACTTGAGTAGTTAGGCTGATCCAAGTAGTTTACACGGGGTCTGGGACAGAGACAACCCAATTGGATCTCACATTTACGGACACACTAATCTAACTGAGATGAGTCTGGCGTTTGATTTGTTTTGGCGAAACGATGTGCCAGCCGGCAAGCTGAACATGGGTCTTGGATTCTACGGCCGAGCCTTCCAGCTTGCCGACCCGGCGTGCAATAAGCCCGGCTGTGTGTTCAAGGGAGGCGCCAAAAAAGGGGCCTGCAGCGGCGAGTCGGGCATTCTCAGCTATCGCGAAATCATGGAGGTTATCAAGACCAAAAAGCTCAAGCCTGTGCATGACAAAAAGGCCGGCGTCAAGTACATCACCTGGAACACTGACCAATGGGTGTCGTACGACGACAAGGAGACGTTTAAGCAGAAGAAGGACCTCGCAAAGAAGCTCGGCCTCGGCGGGTTTCTGATCTGGGCCATCGACCAGGACGACGACCAGCTATCAGCGCTCTCGGCCGTGCTGGACCCCAAGCCGCTGGGTGACTTCCGGTCCGACAAGCCGGACGACAACTGGACAGGCTCGAATGAGAAGTGCTACGTCTCCAAGTGCGGCAAAGGGTGTAGCCCGGGCGACATCAAGATTACGGAGCAAAAGTGCGGCAAGGGCAAGAAGAGCCAGCTCTGCTGCCCGCTCTCGGGCGCCCCCGATCCAAAAGACTGTACCTGGCGAGGTGGTCCCAATATCTGCAACGGGCGCTGTCACGACGACGAGGTCATGACACATATGAGCAAATGGGGTGGTGGCGCCGACTGCTGGGACGGCAACGCGGCGCATTGCTGCAAGAGCCCGCTCGGCGAGGAGAATTCGTGCTACTGGGCCGGTGTCGCCAAGAAGTGCAAGGCCGGTCATCTGCCGCTGACCTTCTCAGGCACCGTACTCAGCATCCTTGATGATATTGCCAAGGTGATCCTCATGGTCGTCGGCCGTGCCGTTCCCATTGCAGCGCTCACCGGCCGCGTACTCCTCGAGGTGCTTGATCAGCTCGACCTCGACACAAACAAGCTGTATTGCTGTCCCGAGGATGATGTCGACCGCTGGAAGAATTGCGCCTGGTACGGCAAGCCAGGGAGCTGCTTCGACGGCCACTGCCCCGATATGAAGTTTGTGCAGCTCACCGACAGCTATTTCGGCGGCGGCGAGACATGCGGCGGCCAGTTGTCTCGCGTGCGAACTTTCTGTTGTGAGTCGGCAGGCGATCCCCTTTTCCTTCCTGTGCCGCTGGAAAACCTGTTTGAGCACCCGCCAGACGGAGACAGTGTCGACACCGATTTCAGCCTCAAGACGGATGATTCATCAGCTGGCGGTGATGATGACCCCAACGAGGCCGCCTTTCAGTTTGTCGTTCTGGCTTCGCCTGACGAGCTGCAAGTATCGGTCGACAAGCGCGATGGCTCCCACTGGGATGTCTTTGGGTTGCGAAGATGCCGTCACAGAAGCGAGCATTCCTGTTAGCATTGGTCTGTACCGACTTTCTCCGAGAGAGCAACTGCCACAAGATAAGTCTCGGCCACGGGGTCCTGGAATCATCCTGCAGATGCCCCCCGGGTGTGGTCCTGGCAAGTATGCCGTGGCGAAGAGCATGGAGCCCGCTGACAGTGGTGACCACGTCAAGCTGCTGCCACGCCGTCTAGCCCACCTCGCTCCTCGAAAGCCCACAGTCTACTCACTGACGTTTGACTACGACTTTGGTCGTGTCCCGCGTGATCTCGGAAGCACCCAGATGCGCATCAACTTTAGTAACCAGGACGACTACTGGGATACAATTGTCGCTGGGTCCGTGTCCAAGAAGAAGAGAGACCTCACCAAGCGCACGCTCGCCGACGTGGGCGGCAACCACGTCCGGTGGCTCGAAGAGGAGTTTAGGGACGACTATCACTTTGGCGGACTCGAGACGCGTGACCTGCACGAACGCTGGTTTGGCACGAGCATTCTGGAGTGGCTCGCGCAGCTCGTCAAACCTGAGATCAAGCGCGAGTTCTTGCACAGATATGATGACACCCTGACAGCCAAACTCATTGATGAGACGTGGTCCTGTTCCAAGGGCGATATCAACTACGAAGGCCACTTGCTCGCCCAGGCCCTGCTCAAGATCAAGGTCGAGTCCAGCTTTGGCTTCACCCTCATCGTCAACGACCTCAGTCTTGCCCCTTTGACCTGAGTCAGAGTTACCTCACCTTTTACAATAAGGGCGCAATCACGGTTGTCATGACCCTTGAGGCGTTGCCAAGGTGTTCTATGAGAAGAAAAAGCGCCA